AAAAAAAAAAAAATTTTGTATTTTATAACAGCTTATCTAAGAATTTGATAAGCTTCTTCAGTAATTTTACAATATCCCTATAAACTAGATAAAAGAATAGTAATATTTATATTTTGCAGTAAAAAATAACTTTACAAAATCAATAGGACTCAAAAATATTATGACCTGGAATTTAATGCGTAATACACATTTTCCAATGTCACCTTTTTCTGCCTCTATCAACAGACTTCTCAAATACAGACATCTTTCTTCAATACATTTTATTCACTTTGTCCCCCTGTAGATACAGAGTACATTGAAATCAAAAGAAATTAAAGAGAAGCTGCCTCATTTCCTTTAATCCTACCTGATTTTAAGTTTTTATTTTGTCTTAAGTGATTTCATGGAATTATCGTAAGCTAATAGACCTGATTGTGCATTCCAACTCTGCCATCTTGGTATCTGAACTTCAATTTGCTTCTCCGCCAGAATAGAAGGATTACCTATTACAGGCCTTCTGTGACCTTTAATGATAATATATATGACTGAGTTATATAAGTGCCTGATATGCCACACTGATACTTAGTGTTTATTTTCTTTCTGTTCTTTGATGTAAAGCTCAAATGAGTAACTTAGAACTACAACATAAAATTATTTTTTAGTAATTTAAAAATAATAGTCTGATCTTTGTCTATAATACTCATAAATCTGACCACAAGTCACCCAAATCAATTGTAAGTCAGTGATAGAAGATAGATTCTTTTACCTATGACTTGGATTACAAAAAAGAATACAGTATCAAGACGTTGTAAGCCAGATTCCAAAGGTTTAAAGCTTTTCAAAAACTTTTATTAGTACAAAACAGCCTAATATAACCATATTTCTGCCCAAGTAAATGGAGGGGCCTCTTTTCAGTCAAATACTAAGTACTTGCTGAGAAGTTACTCTTAGCATTCCTACTAAATTTACCCATAGCTTCAGTAACCTGATAATTAATATATAGCAAACCTCCTCCCTATTTATAATAATAGACAGCTCACCTGTTCTATGAAGCCTTAACAAGCACTAATTTATTTTAATCTTTAGCCTACATATTCTGAATATTTCCAAATCTTGTGCCCAATTAGGCACTTAATAAATGTTTTCCTATTTTGACGAGAATGATTTATCAATTGCATAGTCAAATGCGCAGTGTATGTAAATATAACCCGCAGTCTTTAGTTCCACACCTCAGACCATAGACTTAAGTGATTCAATCAAGTGAGTGATTCAGTCTCTTCAAATAGTGACTCAGATACAAATTGACATTTAAACTCAGGTCTAATTTCTTAGATCAAGGGTCAGCAGGCTTCCTCAAACAGTTTGCCAAGTATGTATTTATCCATTGGCTCCCAAGAGGAAGTCATTTAGCCAGAATACTCAGGAAGGGCTGTATGTAGTCCAAGACCCAGGAAAAGAAACTTCTGGTTTGGAAGGCAATGAGGTGACAGTTGGGTAACGGTTCTCTCTTTCTACCCCCTTCTCCACTCTCTTAATATTTACTGAGGGAAATCTATTAGCTTCAAGTTCCCCCCAACTCCCAATAAGAAAATAACTCTGAGAGGCCTGGTTCGGTGGTTAGTAGCTCAAGCCTGTAATCCCTAGCATTTTGGGAGGCAGAGGTAGGTGGATTACGCTAGCTCAGGAGTTTAAGACCAGTCTGAGCAAGAGTGAGACCCCCAGTCTCTGCTAAAATAGAAAAATTAGCTGGGCATTGTGGTGGCCACCTGTAGTCCAAACTACTGGGGAGGCTGAAGCAAGATGATCACTTAAGCACAAGAGTTTGAAGATGCTATGAGCTATGACACCTTGGCATTCTACCTAGGGTGAAAAATA